TCTGTAGTAGTGAATTCTACAGGCTCATCATTCTCTGGACGCAGAAATTTCTCCTGATCTCAGTTTAAGGACAGGGGTAAATGTTTTAGGACTTTGATCCCTGGTTCTGGACTCCCCCCATCATTAGGAACATTCTTCGTGTATCTAACTTGTCTAGTCCTGTTGGAATTTCGTAGATTTCTGTGAAATTCTGCCTTCATTCTTTTAAATTTCAGTGACTACAATCCTAACTGACTCAATTTCTGCTCATTATAATTGGTCTGCCATCGCAGGAATTAATTTGGTAAATCCTTGTGGAGACTCTTGTGATTTACAGAGTATTGCTGTATGTAGAACAATACTCCTGTAAACAGTCAATTTTACAAGTGAGAATTTTTCCAAAGTACGATAAGTTGATAAACTTCAAGTATCAGAAATCATTTGTTACCTTAATTCTTACTGTATGTCATGTTCTTTACGATAAGCGGTTTACATTCTCTATTTCATTACAAAGTCAAGATGATGATCACCAGTATAAACACAGGGAAATCCTAGTAGCCATCACATGTGAAATACTACTTATCAATATTTTGAACAGGTAGTTGGGTGGCAATGATTAATTATGGTCATGAATCTATTGTGATAAGACCAGTTCTGTTAAACTTCACTTGGTTGAACTTGCCTCCCCTGCTTTATTTATCACTTAAATTATGTATTGTACAGTATTAAATCTGAATTATGAATTTAAAATGTATATCTTTGTATTAGTATGGAGCATTGAAAAACCAAAGTGCTTTCTCACAAAATAACAGCCTTTTCAACCTATAATTGTTTACTTCTGGATCCAAGGCAGTGCAAGATTCACTGTTTTCAGTGACTTGTTCAGAACTATTCTTGACCAAAAAGAATGATGCTTGTTCAGTCTTTTTCAGTGACTATCTAGATAATTGGGAAGAGTGGAATATTCTTCTATTTTTTAAGTTGAAAAATTTGTCAGAAATGTTGATCAAGTGCCTTGTTACCTCATACTGCAGTCAGTTCCAGCCTTAACTATCATTCAAAGCATATTTCTGTTGTGGTTTAACATCAGTATTCAGTGAAAATTGAGATAAGAGTGTAAGGTTCATGTGCAGGTAACGTGAAACTTGGAAAAGGTTTTCTTGTTTGAATAAATTGTCCAGTCTTGATGGGGCAATCTATTATAAAGAGAGGGAAGTTAATATTAATGGATCCAACTCTTATTTGCATTACACTACAATGTGTATTAATAACACTGATTATAGAACACTCCAGAACTAATTGTTTCGTTGCCTGGTTGAAGTAGGATGGTGAGAGTAAAATGCATTGCCTTATTTTTCAATTTTGCCTGGTGTTGAAAAGATGGACTTCTGTGCGACAGCAGGTTTCAACAGATGTTGGCCATCTGTCATCACACCATAAGCAGTTGTGCAACCTTTAAGAATATCAACAAAATGCTTGACTCTTAAACCTCGCAACTGAGACCCAATCTGCCCTTATTTGTCCGATGTTCATGTGCATTTGCCAGTAGGAGTCAGTGATTAAGCAATTGGAACTTAATTTTGTTTATATTTTCTTAATTCCCATCTTTATTCAGAAATCCAAAGACCAGTTATGTTATTCATTCTAGCATTCTGGTTGTGTTTAATGACTTGAGAGCAGCCTTCCTGACTTATATTATTCAATATAAGTTCTACTCGAAATGGTAAACCTATTTGGAAGGCTTAATATTTGATCATGTGATCACCATGCAACAATGTCTACAATTAATTTATTCAAACAAGAAAACCTTTTTCCAGGTTTCATGTCACCTGCACATGAACCTTACACTCTGTTATCTCGATTTTCTCTGTGTACTGATGTTGTAGTAATGTTTTCTTTCTGGTGATCTTTCATAGCATTTTCGCAAAGAATTGTGCGAATGTGGAGGAGCTCACAATCACAGGAATTTCTACCCCAGTGATTTCCTTAATAAAAAGCTGAAAGAGCTGCGGATGTTTTAATCAGAAACAAAATTAGAAATTGGTGGAAAACTGGGTGGGTCTGGCAGCATCTGTGGAGAGAAATCAGAGTCAAACCGAAATGTTAAATGACCTTTTCTCAGAACTGGGAGCGTTTTGAGGAAGGGTTACTCGACCTGAAACGTTAACTCTGTTGCAGTAATTTCCTTGTTTCTCAGTTCTCTCAACCTGAGTTTTTTAGAGACATTAGATGTCTGCAGCATGGAAGTAGGCCCTTTGGCCCAACTTGCCTATGCCACCCGGTTTTCACAATTAAACTAATCCCATTTGCTTGTGTTTGGTCCATATTCCTTCATACCTATCCCATCCATGTACCCATCTAAATATTTCTTAAATGGCGAAATTGTGCTCTCTTCCACCACTACCTCTGGCAGCCCGTTCTGGACACTCACCGCCCTCTGTGTGAAAGAATTGCCCCTCTGGACTTTTTGTTATCTTCCTCCTCTCACCTTAAGCCTATGTTCTCTAGTTTCTGTGCAGGTATATACAGAAGCATGAGATAGAGCACATTTAAGAGCTTTTAAGACTGAAGGAAGGATCATTATGCAGGAATATAAACATAACCTGTCTTGCCACAAGACAATATATGAAGTGACTGCACTTTGCCTGTGATTTGTTGTGAAGTTGAGCAATGTTGAATATGAACAGAATAATGGTACTTATCCCTCAAAAACTTAACCTCAATTGAAATGGTCTGCAGAAGCATCTTCATAGCCCTAATCCAAGATAACAGCACTGCACAATGCTTTTAAATGTACATACAAAAATTAAATCTATCGCATCTGCAAAAGGTCAGTAGTACAATACCTAAGGAATTAGAAAACTTCTCTTTCCTCCCCCAAAATCTGAAACTTAATGCTGTAGCAAGGCACTGCTCACATTGCTCACCAGTCTTATTTCCTGCTAAACAGCGTTTATTTGCTAGAGGATTAAGGATTGTCTGTGACATTGGATTTATCTATTGGAATGACCAGGCATTGGGAAGTATTTTTATTTCTAATCTCTAGGAGATTGATTCTGCACTTTGGGGTAGGTCCTGGCCAGTCTTTATGGGTTGACTGATACTAACTTAGCAATTTCAAAACTGGATTTAGGTTTCTTGGGTTCATAATGTAACAGGAGTTTGTGGTTAATGCAGTTGTGCAAATTTGTATGAAAGTGCTGGATAGAAAACAAAATCTGTCATTCTCTTCTACATCTTATTGTTCAGTATATTAATAAGTGGACATTTCATTGGGAGAATGTGTGTGTGTCTCGGAGACTTGAAATTTAGAGAGGGTTAACCCATGACATAAACAAAACTTTATACATCAGCTGGAGAGGTGAGGGGTGTGTGGCAATGTTGTTGGGAGTTCTCTTTAGAGGCAAAATCTGAACACTTGAATATTTTAATTTACTAACTATCATTATGCGCAATATGCTTATTTTTATATATTTGACTAAATCTCATTTGCAAATTATCAGTGATTACAAATAAGGATTTGACTTCATTGAATCTTATTGCCTCTGCTAACTGAGATGTGATAAGCCACAAATGATAAATAATAAATTATATCTGCCATTACATTGAGGATGATTTGTGGAGTTATATTACACACTAGAGAGATGTTGTGTACCTTGGGCTCTAATTTACAATCGTTCACCAATTACAAGAGGCACTCTGCTGCAAATCTTTACATTTGTATTTTGATATGCATGGTGCAGAGTAGCTCATGCACTGTTATCAGTGTGCAGTAGATATCTGACTTTAAAGCCTTGAACAGTGCAGAGGTAAAAGTACAGTAATGGAATCAGCATGGTGAGTCATAATGTTCAAACCTCGGCTCAGTGTAGCTGAAGATTGCCAGAGGCTGATGTGTTTTAGTATTTTTAAAAAAATTAAAGGATTAGGCATCCAAATGACTACTGTTAATAAGTACTGTATAATATTTCAGTGCATGTGCAGGACACCGATAACTCTGTCTGACCATGAGGTAAGCACCACGATAAATAAGGTTGAAGCACTAATAGAAATTGCTGGAGAAACTCAGCAGGTCTGGAACCATCTGTGAGGAGAAAGGAGAGATAACGCAGTGTGGAGCGGGAGGAACACAGCAGGCCAGGCAGCATCAGAGGAGTAGGAAAGTTGACGTTTCGGGTCAGGACCCTTCTTCAGAAATTCAGGAGAAAGCAGATGCTTTCATTTACGAAGTATCAAACTGCTTTCTCTCAAAAGGAGCTGTCAGACTTGCTGAGTTTCTCGAGCAATTTGTTTCTGTTTGATTTCCAGCATCCATAGTTCTTTGTTTTATTTTAGTAAATAAGGTTGGTTTTAGTGTTTTATTCAGTTGTGTTTTCTTTCCTTCTACATCCTCTGCAATCACTAGTTAATAACTGAATTTAAAAGAAGTGAGTTTAATTGAAGTGGTTTAAAGGATTTTAAAAAAATCTTTTTTCCTCAGCCTCAATAAATGTTCACAGTTAGTAACTGTTAAGAGGCTTCTAACATCTTGAGTAATATTTATTTTTAAAGTTAAATTTAACAAGTAACTATCCCTTTTTTTTAACCTGTATGTAATCCTTAAGTGAAACACTTGAAAGCTGGGGTTTTGCCTCTGAGCGACACCAATACAGTAAACTCCCAGATCCAATAATTACTGTGGCTCATCTAATTTCATCTGAGTTGTAGGAGTGCTGCATTTAGCTCCGACTCAACCAAATTAGGGTGTTGAGAAACTATAAGGGTTCCCACCACTATTCATTGTATAATAACTTAGATCAGAATATCAGGTGGATCCTACAATGTACATTTTCTTAATGTCTTTTATGTGCAATGTCTGTTTTTAACCATTTCAAGAGTTTAGCATTGAAATGTATGTGCATGCAAAAAAAAATTGCTTTATTACTAGTATCAATAGACTGATGTTTGAAAATATAGGAATTGTAACTCTGAAAGAAGTAATGCTAATAAAAATGATGATACTCAGTGTTCATATTTGAAAGGTGTCTTCTGAAGATCAATGGACGAATCAGCTCCCTTCCGCAGAAGACGAAAAGACTGATGGACAAAAGTTTGGGCAAAAAAGGTGGAACTCCTGGAAAAGCAGGCAACGACAACGACCTCTTTCAGATTATGGTCAATTCGCTAGCAGGAAGTTTTCTATCCCAGAAAATGGTTTGCCTATTCAATCTCAAAAAATTGACACTACAGAGAATGAAGTCACCATTGTTGACTCCCAACCAGAGAAATGTGTCAGTATTCAGCTCCACAGAAATCAGAAAAGGAGGCCAATCTCCATAATTGGTGGGGCCAGTATTTATGGGAATAATCGCTCGGAGGAAATAGTGGATCTTCTTACAATACAAGTAAGATGATTTCCTTTTGCTGCATCAAAATCAAACTTGACTGCTCTGCCTGCTGCTGCTTCATCTTTGGCTGAAAACTTTTGCTTCAGTTCTTCCAGAAACTCTGGAAAGGAGTGTGGGATGTTTGCTGTCCTCTGTTCTGATTCAGCTATTCGTATTCTTGCAAATATCTCTTCAATACTTTTGCCAAAAATGACATGCCCCAATAAATTTGCTTTTGAGTTGCACTTGAATTTCTTGCCAATCTCTTATTTAGTGAACTGTTTTGCTGAAGTAACAGTTTTGAAAATTGGTGAATCCATAAATCTGATGAAGACATGACGCTTGTATACAATTGTACTGTGCCATTTAGTGAACAATTCATGTGTTTTAAAATATGTCAAGTGAAAGTTTATTGATATAATAATCCATAGTAATCTATCAGGTATCCATAAAACAATATCCTTTCAGTACACCAACAGTCAGCACAATGTTTTCGCTATTAAGATAAGAATAGCAAAATATTGGTTTTAAATTATTTGTGTGGTGAATGTCTGTTCATATTGGTGAGAATTGTAAATTGCTACAACACCTTGAATATGACCAGATTATTTATATAGCAAAAACAAAACTCTGTATGATAATCCGTGAACAAAAGTGCATTATCTGAATGTAAAGGAGCAATTGGCACAAATGTTCTCTCAGTATTTAGAAAGGAAAAAAAGCTAATGGTAGGAATATGTCGTTGATTACCACATGGTAAAATTGGCGTGGATATTCTGCACTGTGTATGTATGTGTGTGTGTGTGTGAAGTGCGCCATAAAGATTAGTTGGAGAAAAGTTTGTTTGTAATATTGGGGAATTTTTGTTATCCTGTCATAAGACTAGGATTTGTTTTGAGGAAAATCTGTACAAATGTAAATGTACATGCAGAATACTGAGAGGTCTGGATAGAGAGGACATGGAGAATATTTTTCCGCTAGGTGGAGACACTAGGACCTAAGAGCAGAGCTTGAGGTGAAGGGACGACGTTTCGAACTGAGATGAGGAACTTCTTTAGCTAGGGCGTTGTGAATCTGGGGAATTCATGGCTGCAGAAGGCTGTGGGTGCCATGTCACTGAATACCTTTTAGGGGAGATAAATAGGTTCTTGATTAGTAAGGGGATCAAAGGTTAAGGAGAGAAGGCAGGGGAGTGGAGTTGAGAAACATATCACCTGTGATCGAATGGCAGAACAAATTCAATGGGCTGAATGGCCTAATCCTGCTCCTTTATCTTATGGTATTGAACTCCTTGAATAACCTTTCTGTAATGTGGAGGTGCCAGTGTTGGACTGGGGTGGACAGGATCAGAAATCATACAACATTAGGTTATAGTCCAACAGGTTATTAGTCTAACACCTGAAGGAGTGAGGCTCTGAAAGCTTGTGTTTTCAAATAAACCTGTTGGACTATAACCTGGTGTCATGTGATTTCTAATCTTTCTGTAAACTGCAGGCTAGGGAACCCGTGAGATAGTGTTATTGGAATGTTGGTAAATGAAGCGGGATGTAATAAGCCAAATTTGAAATGAGGACCTGTTTGAGACCAGCTATTCAGAAAGTTGTTCATTTTCATGGTAATATGATAGAGCAAAAAATAAAAATTATGAAGAAATTGGATTTTAATAAAGCAGACTTTGAGTAGGGAACATATGGGGCAAAATGCTAGTCCGAATTCCTTCTATTGATGATTTTGGCAAAATGTTTAACACTAATACTAGTACCTGCACCTTTTTTTTTATACTGTTGGAAGGAATTTCTCATTCATGGATAAGGAACCGGGGTTTTTTTTTGTCTTTTACTCTGATCATTAAAGCCAAACCTAGTACCTTACATAATCTGAGCACAAAAAGAAGCCATTTGGCTCATATTTCCTTTTGTTCCCCAAACCCTGAAAATTAGCCCAAAATTAGCCATCTTCATGTGCATATTGAACTATGCCTTTCAAAAGTTCCGACTGGAATCTGATTCCAACACCGTTTCAGATTGTGTGTTAGTGATTCCAATCTTAACTTTCTGCTTGCAGGAATGGAGGCAGGAGGTGGATGTGCTGCAGTGTGGTGGGCCAGACAGTAGTTTCCTTTTGATTTAAAAATCGTTAAATGCCTAGCACTGATGTGGATATTGGTGCTTTCTTGACCATACAACTTTGGGGAGGTAAATTACAACAATATGCTATGAGATGAGCTGTCAATCCATAATTCTTGATCAGAAACACAGTGCTGGAGAAACTCTGGTGTGGCAGCATTTGTGGATGGAGAAACAAAATTAATGCTTCAAGGCTGATATGATTTCTTCAGAACTGGTAAGGTTTGGCAAAGTGATCAGGTTTATACTGTTGACCAAGTGAGAGGAGAAGTGAGTGAAACAGCTGGAGTAGGTGTCCAGAGTAAAAGGCTAAGGGAGTTAATGGTGCAGGTTGGGAATCCTTTATCTAAAAACTGGTTTTCAGATAAAGGGTATTTTCAGCTTTGGGGACCGCTGTCGTCTATTTGGTTCCTTTTTAGAGTTATGTGAAAAATTTTTTTTTCTTCCAATGGATCTAAAAGCAAAATATTTTTCCAAAAGAATTAAGCAGACCTGGCAGATGTGCGGAATTTGGCCCTTTGGACAACAAAACTTTGTTGATAGGTCTGTTTGGGCCAGAACTCGGTGTGTTTACAGATTTGTTTGGGTCTGCTACCAAAAACATCTTTAGTATTTGTGTCTTTTCGGTTTTTGGACATACTGATAATGGATGCCTGATCTGTAGTAAAATAATGCGAATAGTAGATGAGAATGGAAAATAGGTCAGGTCAGATAAGAGCAAACCCTTGCAAATAAGGCATTGGTGGAGAAAAATGGTGTAATCAAAATGGGCAACTGTAATCATGTTCTGAAATTTTTGAACTCAAATGCTGAGTCCTGAAAGTAGAAAATGAGATGTTGTTCCTCCAGCTTGGGTGCGATTGCTTTGTTATCAAGTCTACCCAAAATATGTGAGTGTGTGTTAATATCAAATGACCAGGTGTGGATATGGGATGTTGTGGCAACATAACCTGCCAGTATTCGCTGTTTAGGTTGAAATATGATGAGTAGAAGATTGAAATATGATGGAAGACAATTGCCTGGATGGCAATTGCCCAGCACCAATTGGCATCATAAGGCAGAGAGCAGATGATTGATGCAAAAATATGGACCAAGAAATTGTTGTGAAACTTGAAGTGGTAAATTAAATATCTGAAGTGTTTGAATTTTGTGGATCAGGAACTGTTGGAAGTTGGTTTACTTTCAGTGCTGAGCTGACTACCTCACTTTAGATGGCAGTTGAGATTTTAAAGTTGGTTTCCAAGTCCTTTATCAGAAGGAAAATGCATATTAATAGCTCAGCTTCTGATTGCTACCTAGTTGTCCATGAATAAAAATGTATGAATGTGAACTTGAATGTAATGCATTCTACAGTTGAATATTCTACTTTAGCTAACAATAGGAAAAATATTAATTCTGTAAAGTACTGGAAGGCAGACAGTGTGCTTGAAGATTATGCAGAGTCATTCCCCTCAGGAGAGTTGAAGAGATTTTTGCAAGGTTGAAGTTACCACATGGAACAAAATTAATGTGCTTTATTAGTTTAATTTTTAATATTCATCAATTTTCCCCTTCAAAGCCTTTTAAGCTTTATGTAACATTTAAAAAGTGCAGTGTTAATTCTTTTTCTTTGTGTGGATGGTTAGCTAAAAGCTCTTAGACATCAGTAATTGCATTTTTAATGTTGGAGCTTTACAGCTTATCAATAAACAGTATGCAGGGTGCAGTGTTTTCGATCTGCTTTGCTTCCAAGGAATTGGAAGCTGAAGTAAGTGGCGTTGTGTACCATAGCACTGTGCAGGTCAAAGGCTGAATGCACAGTGAAACAAGCCCACAATAAGGTTTTATTTGGAGTTAACTTATTTGTTTCTTGGTGAAATTTTAGTTGAATGGGTTTGGAAAAGAGCAATTTTTTTTCCTAGTTTAGTACAGCTCTCAGATCGTATTTTCTTTTGTATCATTTATGGCCACGAGAAACCTTTACGTAAATTTATTCTAATTTCAGAGCTAGGAGGAGTTTTGGTTGCATTACTTCGGTAAGGCATTCCACAAGGTTCTGCGTGGTAGACTGGTTAGCAAGGTTAGATCACATGCAATACAGGGAGAACTAGCTATTTGGATACAAAATTGGCTCAAAGGTAGGAATCAGAGGGTGGTGGTGGAGGGTTGCTTTCCAGACTGGAGGCCTGTGACCAGCGATGTGCCACAATGATCGCTGCTGGGTCCACTGCTTTTTGTTGTTTTTATGATTGATTTCGATGTGGACATAGGAGGTATGCTTAGTAAGTTTGCAGATGATACCAAAGTTGCTGGTCTAGTGGACAGTCTAGAAGGTTACCTCAGAATGCAACGGGACCTTGAACACATGGGCCATTGGGCCAAGGAGTGGCAGATGGAGTTAGATTTAGATAAATGTGAGGTGCTGCATTTTGGTAAGGCAAATCAGGGCAGGACTTATATATTTATTGGTAAGGTCCTGGGAAGTGTTGCTGAACAAAGAGACCTTGGAGTGCAGATTCATAGTTCCTTGAAAGTGCAGTTGTGGGTAGACAGGGTAGTGAAGGTGTTTGGTATGCTTGCCTTAATTGGTCATTGCATTGAATATAGGAATCGGGTTGTCATGTTGTGGCTGCACAGGACATTGTTAGGCCTTTTTTGGAATACTTTATTCAATTCTGGTCTCCTGCTATAGTAAAGATTTGGTGAAACTTGAAAGGGTTCAGAAAAGATTTACAAGGATTTTGCCAGGGTTGGAGGGTTTGAGCTATAGGGAGAGGTTGAATAGGCTGGGGCTATTTTCCCTGAAGTGTCAGAAGCTAGGGGCTGACTGTATTGAGGTTTACAAAATCATGAGGGATATAGACAAGGTGAATAGCTATGGTTTTTTCCCCCAGGGTAGTGGAGTCCAAAACTAGAGGACAAAGGTTTAAGGTGAGAGGGGAAGGATTTAAAGAGGATCTAAGGGGTGACTATTTCACGCAGAGGGTGGTGCATGTATGGAATGAGCTGCCAAACAAGATGGTGGAGGCTGGTACAATAACAACATTTAAAAGGCATCTGGATGAGTATATGAATAGGAAGGGTTTAAGGGGTATATGGGCCAAATGCTGGCAAATAGGACTAAATTAGAGTCATAGAGATATACAGCATGGAAACAGACCCTTTGGTCCAACTTGTCCATGCCGACCAGATATTCTAAATTAATGTATGAGCTATGAACCTGCACTCTGCTGGACCTTACCTTTAAGTGTATAAGTCCTGCCCTGACTTGCCTTCGCAAAATGCAGCACCTCACATTTATCTAAATCTAACTCCATCTGCCACTCCTTGGCCCATTGGCCCACGTGTTCAAGGTCCCGTTGCATTCTGAGGTAACCTTCTAGACTGTCCACTGCACCACCAATTTTGGTGTTTTGGAATATTGGTTGGCATGGATGAGTTGGACTGAAGGGTCTGTTTCTGTGCTGTACATCTCTGACTCTGACAAAGTTAACAATCTCTGTTCAAAGTAAACCTAAATTACCTTTTCATGCCTAAATAATTTACATCATAAAAATAAAATTTGGAGTGTGTTTTAATGCACAAGCGGATATTTCCAAGTAATTCTATGTAATATTTTGAGAAGTTTCCATTGTGTCTTTCAATATTTCTCTGGTGTGTGTTCAGTGTTCCTACAAATATAAATGATCTACAAAGGAAAAATATAAATGTATTCCCTCATCTTTCCTAAAAGTTGGAATTAGCAGATGGCTATTAATGGAATTTTCTGGTCTGTGTGCCCTAATGTCAGTTTAAAATTTAACATGGCATTACTTACAATTGCCTTAAGCAAGTTAATGATGTCAAACAGAACTGCAGCATTAGTTACTTGTATTAATACTTTACCTATGAATTAACTGTTGGAATGCACTTAGAGATCGGGTATATTGGCAGAGGCACTGGTACAGTGTTGAGAAGTTCACTTACGATTTATGTCTGTTTACCTACAGTATCATTACAAAAATGAGATTTATAAGATTGTTGTGTTTTGGAACTCTGTTTTTAATTTAGAGTAAAATGAAGGCAGTCATGAGTCATATTCTGAAGATAGCCTGGCAAAATGCTGAGTTGATGTGGCTGCTAAAAATTAAAATGTGTGATGTTTGCTGCAAAGAAGAGATAAGGTGTTCAGATTTGGAGACAATGGCAACATCATCTTTGCTTGAAGTGGAGATGGCTTTGCCTGGAAAAGAGTTTCTAAGGTATCCCTGAAACTCCCCTTCAGTTTAGCAGAATTGGCAAGAGGGGGAGAAGCTAGAAACTGCGTAGTCTCTATGGTTTGCTGTATAGGAATGTGGGTGAGAGCTCGTTGCCTGACCAAAATGACCAAAGTTGTGAGGGTTTAAATGAGGTTGGAAGGTTTGCCTTGCTCACACTATAGAGAGTCACTAGGAAGATACCCTCACAGTGGAAGACAGTCTGGAATTTAAAAGTTAGAAAGCTAGTAAAGGAAAGCAATGGAAGCAAACCTTTGGCAGCTAAAAATCACTTTGGACTGGATCCTGGAAAATCAAGAAACTGCTTAAGGGAAAGTTAGGTATACTTATGAAATGAGTTTTTCAGTTATGGTAGAAGTGAAAGGGAAAATTCTGTTCTGTACCTTTTAAGGTATAAGTGAACTGCAGCAATAGGACTGGTTGTTTACAATAATTCTGGAAATGAAATCTCACTGTCCTCCTTTTAGCTATTGAAACAATATCAATTTATTTTTAAATTTAACAGCCTCTGCAGTAGAAACTGTACAGGCCAGTGCTTACCGCATTTTTTCCCACTGACCCCCATTTTGAGGTTTGAAAATAGTTGCAATCCTATGGTGAGAATTCAGAGAGCAGAGGCCTGTTGGAAAGGGGCACAGGTGTTCTAACCCACTCGGGGCCATAATCTCTACTTTGCGAAGCTGTGCTATCGGTTTCTTAGTAATTGTAAATCTGATTCATTAACCAGGAAGACTGAAGAACTTATGAATATGATACAAATACAAAACCTTTCGTAATCAGATTTACACTCTTGGTTCAATAAAAAATAATGTAAACTATTGTAATCTTGAATAATATACCTTCAGCTTAAAAGACTATTCAAACCAACTTCAAAATGGTTTTGCATCTTGGAATCTCACTAAAGTGATATGCACTTTAACATGTACGTTTAAAATAAATTTTCTTTAGCTGAATATTCTGACCTCTACTTGTGGGTGGAGTTGGTATTTTTTAATCTAACATAATATATTTAATATTGTTTGTTTTCAGCCAGTTGCTCGGCCACCTGTTCCCTCACATCAGGTACCACCATATAAAGCTGTGTCTGCCAGACTTCGGCCTTTCACTTTCTCCCAAAGCACACCCATTGGCTTAGATCGGGTTGGGTGTAGACAGCATTTGAGAACATCAAATTGTAAGTAGTGTGTATCTACATTGAGCAGTAAGTTGGAATGTAAACTGTAAGCATGCAATAATTTAAAATCCATCTGTAATGTACTGCACATGCTTCTGAAAAAAATACTCCTCTTCTGAAGAACAGATGATATTTTCCAGCCCTCACTTCATCTAACCTCCCCCCAGCCCCTCCTCATTTTGCCCTGGATTATTCAGTATTTTTGAAATGCCATTATTATCTTTTACTCTGAAGACTGATGCAAAGTATTTGTTCAATTCCTCTGCCATTTCCTGGTTCCCCATTGTTATTTCCCCGGTTTCATTTTCTAAGGAATTTATGTTTGAATTTGGCCTCTCTTTTTATATATTTAAAGAAGCTTTTACTATCCTTTTTGTACCATTTACTAGATTACCTTCAAAGTTTACTTCTTTCCTCTAATTTTTTTTATGGTTGTTGGGACGTTTTCAAATGCCAACAATCAGGGAGACCAGAGTTTAAGGACATGAGGTAGGCTATTTAGGTCTGAAACGAGGAGACGTTTCTTCACCCGTGCAGTGATGAGCTTGTGGAATTTTCTGTCATCAAAACTGGTAGAAGCCAAAACATTGAATGTTTTCAAGAAGGTGTTAGATACTGTTCTTAGGACTATAGGGATCAAAGGATGTTGGGGGTAAACAGGAACAGGATACAGAATTAAGTGATCAGTTATGGGCACATTGAATGGTAGAGCAGACTCAAAGTGCTGTATGGCCTACTCCTGATCTCTTTTCTATGTTAGCCGTGGCTTTGGGCAGGGAACATAGCATTCAGAACTCCCAAACGGCTGTAGAGAACCGTATCTGTTCCCCCTAATCATACTGTTCCTACCTCTACTGTGATCCTGTTTCCAGTTGCCATTTGAATGGTTCAATGTGCCATGGTGCTGTGGTCAGTTTGCTCATTCTGTCTGCAGTTCCTACTCTTGTTCTACATAGCTTGCAAGAACCTCGTAACTGTTGAACAGTTGCTTGAATGCTACCCTTTGGATCCCTTACCAACCTAATCTGCAGTTGCACCCTCCTGTCCCTGATCACAGACCAAATTTGAAGGGTATAATTTGAGGGGTGTGACCATCTCTTGAAGTAAAGTGTCCAAGTGACTTTCTCACTCCATGACGTCATGCAATGTCTGCAACTTGGGCTTCGCTCCCCAACTCAAATCCAAATTTTCTTGAGCCGCAAACACATATTACAGATGTGTTTGCCATGGATGACCTTGGTGTTCAGCAGCACCTGAAGTGCCATCAGTGTTGTATTTTGATTTAGTTAATTAATTGCTTACTCAGAATTTCTGCAGTTTACACTTGAAGAATCCCTAACTCTTTACATTTTGTTTTAATGCCGGTATAAATCTTATACTTAAGTTATTTTTCAGAAAAAAGAGAGAGAAGTAAAGATCAGAGACTTCAAGACAATCTGAAAATTTTACTTTTACGTTAAAGACTAGGAAGAGTCATGAATCCTATTCTCCAATCTGCAGCTTTCCTTGCACTTACATTATTGTTGGCCTTACAGATCAAGAGGCCCACATGTAGTGCCTTTTATCCTCTCCCACTCATCTCCTTGCTCTGGAGATTTTATTACTTGCAGTAAATCTTACTTAAAGCATCTCTTCTCTCCTTTGCACTGAATTCCCAGATATACTTACTGAACGCACCTGTCTCTCTCAGACAAAGTCTCCCTTGCACTGATTGCTTTTTATTTACTGTCAGATTTTAAAATCTCTTCCGTATATAAAGTTTTAATGAAATGCTTTTTAGCTTTACTCCCTGCTACTGTAATCAGCACTTCATTCAGGCACTATCCTACAGGCCGTTGTAACTTGGTTAAAGGCTATTAGTTCTAGGTCTAAATCTGACTTTTGCTGTAAAATTGAATTTGAAAAAGATTTCCCAGTTGAATCCCTACTTTGAACCAAATTCCCTGATGTACTCACTCAGCCTCTATCTTACTCCATCGAAGTCTCCACATTATCTGTGCTCTTTACTTGAAATGCTGTGGAGGGTGGTCATCGGTTTGAAAGGTTATCTCTTTCCGAAAAGGATTGAATGTTCTGTTTCTTTGAAAGTAGGTTGGAGTGAAACCACATCCAGAAATGTCCTCTTGAAGCCACAAAGGGAAACTCTCTCAGGCATCTTTATGATGCATGCTGATCTTCTATGTGGAAGTTCTGTGGAATCACTTTGTTACTAAATATGATATAGGTGAATTTAAGAATAGAAGCCAAGCTTTCTACTGGCTTGAATCAATAATCTTATCACACACCCAAAGAAGTGGGATCCTTGGATTTCCGAAGAAAAGATTTTTGGTTTTGCAACTAAAATATAAGATGTATACCTTGCCAAATATTGGTTTATCCAATCCTGAGTTGCACATTGCGAGATACTGTGTGGTGAGACTTATGAATAAGCTTGACGTGATCCAAAGATATACTGCATGATCCTGTATGTCCTCTACACTAGTGCTGTATACTTGGTAAAAGGATTTCGATCACAAATCTTTGATCAAGTGAAGGAGCGAAATAGATTGACTGGTATGTTCAATAGAATATGGAACAAATTAATGGGTATTAGCAGGAACATATCCTCTGGGAATGACAAAATATGAGGTAGCCATCCATAAAAACTAAAAAGAACATTTTTTTTCCCAGGACAGTACATCAGAAATGTTTATTCACATGGACAATTCCACAATGGAACAATCTGCCAAAGGAAGTGGTCACAATCTCATGACTTGAAATCTCCAAGATGCATCTTTAGATTATTTCCTTTACAAGTTTTAATTATCAGATGTACCATTTTATACCTGTTGCATTTCCCATAAAAATGTTGACAGAATACAGACATAGTCTGTGATCTTGCACAACTGAAGCAGAAGCAAAAGTTATCCTTGTATCGCAATAGGTTATGCAAGGTCATCACAGAAAGATGATCTTGCATTTAAAAAGAAATTAAGCAGTTAAAGACCAAATTGGTTCTACACTTCCATAAGAACAGATGCCAGTTTTGATATATTAGAACTAATCAAAATAGTGAAACACTGCACAATAACAGATGTTTTAAAGGCAAATAGAAATTTATTATGGAGAACTATATGCTCAAGGTTGAGGCTTGGGGACCCAAAGGATGCATAATTCATCCTATTTAGTGATGGTTGTGATGTCAAACTTCTCCATGGATACTAAAGTACAGCTGATATTCTAATATTTTTGTTGGGTAAAAGTGGAAAATGTCCTTTGGCCCAAGAACTGAAGCAAATAAAAAGGCTGGTTAAAAGTACATTAGCTGCAGAAACACAAGGCTGTCTTGGAAATAATAGATAAAGTATCCCTTGCCATTGTTTAAGGGACCATTCTATACATTGTGAATTCTGAGAGTAGTTTGCCTATTGGGTATGATTTAGATAATTATTCCCTGTTGGATGACATATATTTGACAAAAACTGTGACTGAAGAAAAAAATGTTAAGGATTGGCCTCATTAGTATAGAAGAGGTGTGAGAAAGAAAAACAATTTCTGAGCCAAAATGAGCCGATGCTCGTCATCAGTTGTCAGAATGCTTCACAAAATACAATGCTTGCACAAATAAACTATTAAAGGTGATAGGAATGAGTATGATGTGATGTACAGAATATGAAAAATCATTACTTTTTTTTCTCTTTTCTGTTTTGTATGTGAAATATTGTGTGGTATAAAGTTTTGAAATAAATAAAAGCAAAGTCTGTTAATTGTATCTTAATTTTGAAGTAAAGGTTATGGGTACATAAGAGGGCATTGATTAAGTACTTCTGTCAACAATAAAGAAATACTCGTCCATGCTCATATGTCCCTGGAAATGGAGCATATGGTGTCCCATTGAGGCCTTCCAAGATGGGTGAGTGCATCATCTAGGAATGACATTTTGCTTTATTTTTGTAGGTATCTTCTTAAGATTTCAGTTGTGTTGCCCCTTAATTAGTTCATGATGACACAGCATGGAAACAGACCTTTCGGTCCGACTTGTCTGCACGACCAGATATCCTAAACTGATCTAGCCCTATTTGCCAGCACTTGGCCAAATCCCTCTGAAACCCTTCCTATTCATGTACTCATCCACATGCCTTTTAAATGTTGTAATCGTACCAACCTCCACCACCATCTTTGGCAGTTTGTTCCATACATGCACCGCCCCCTGTGTGAAAAAGTTGCCCCTCGGGTCCCTTTTATGTCTTTCCGCTCTCATCTTAAACCTTTGTCCTTTAGTTTTCATCTCCTCCACCCTAGGAAAAAGTGGCTATTGACCCTATCCATGCCCCTCATGATTTTATAAACCTCTATAAGGTCACCCCTCAGTTTCCGATGCTCCAGCAAAAACAGCCCCAGCCTATTCGGCCTCTCCCTATAGCTCAAACCCTCCAACCTTGGCAGCATCTTCAGAGTTTTATTGATTTGTGGTCAAAGTCAAAATCTCTTCCTAATAGTGCTGTGGATGTCCATACAGTCCCCTTGAAAGACACAAAAAAGCAAAGTAAAGCTGATGATGGGAATCTGAACTGAAAACAGAAACGCCCAGAAAAATTCAGCAGATCTGGCAGCATCTCTGGACAGAAAAACACAATTAATGTTTTGAGTCTGATATGACTCTTCTTTGGAACTGAGAGGGGTTTGAAAATGATAGTTTTTAGACTTTGGACAAAGGTGAAGGATGAGTGAGGGGAGCAACAGATGAGTGTGGAGGCCAAGCACAAAAGACAGTGGGGTTGCTATTGTCTTTGAAGATGAATGGAGGTGTAAAAATTGATGTCAATTAAGGTGTGAAAGGGAGAAAATGGGTCCTCCCTGCAGGGAGCAGAATGAATAAGACACAAGCATTACATGTTTGTGATGCTGGGAGAGGGGGAAGAATGTAAGGAAAATGGAGGACAGGTATCATGAAGTCAAAGTCTGAAGTTGAAGGTTGTAAAGTGCCTAAATGGAAAGTGAGATGTTCCTTAAACTTCCATTGTACTTCATTGGAACATTACAGGCCCAGGACAGAAATGTTAGCAGGAGACCAAGTTATTTTGTTTTTTACAGGGTTTGAGGAGAGACTAGAGGTTGGTAGGGAGAAGGGACATTTAGTAGAAGATTGGCATTTAATTTACTAATTAACCAACTGGTTTTAGAATGAGTTAACATCAAAGATGCATATTCAACTGCTTATGGAATCAATTTCCAAGCTTATTGCTGATTTAAATCAGACAAGAAACTGAGAATTTCCTTTGAATTTGGTGGAAGATAGCTGGAAACCAAGGATAGATGCATAAACAGGGGTTTCCAATGTTCGTCTGCTGAAGGTATGGTGCTACAATAAAAGATCTTGTGAAAAATCTCCTTGTTTATGAACAAAATCTAATGGATTCATACATAATTGTTGCTGTTGTACAGATAAAATTAACATAACGTTGTACATTGCCTCGACATTTTATTTATTTTGCTAAGCAGAATATGAATATGAATCATTACAGTTGTAACCAGGTGATTTTGTGGCCAATCAGATTCAAATGGATTTACATGATACAGTGTCACCAATGCACTGATACTGATTGACTATTCTCTTCAGTTTTAATTTAGAAGAAAATTCAGGTTGTAGAAAAAGAAAATGGGGTGGGGGGGAAGAAAATGAGTGAAATAGTGAATGTTTCATAACAGAATATAACTGAACTAGACTGGAGGAAAAACCTTCTAATTTTAAGATCATGAGGTTGTAAGTTGTACTTGTGTTTGTGTAATGATTGAGACCAGTTGACCTTGTTAACTACAAGGCTCTTGATAGGGATGGTTAACCTGGGCCAATCAGGAAAGACTTGGCTGACCAATATAACCAGCAGATTAGAAACTCCTCAGTTGTGGACCGTGGACCGTCTTAGTGACAGGACCTGGTCTCTGTGCAGTAATTTCAGTTTGTAATGTGGCATTCCTCATGTTAGTTTTGAACTTTGGTTGTAGACAAAATGCATAACCTGCAGTAAAGACTAGGAATGTTGCAGTGAAAAATGTACCACCTGACCTCCCCCAAAGCCTGTCTATTATCTACAAGGCACAAGTCAGGAATGTGATGGAATACCCGCTGCTTGCCAGGATGAATGCAGCTGCAGTTACACTCAAGGAGCTTAACACTATCAAGGGCAAAACTGCCCATTTGATTAGCACCACGTGTACACACATCCACTCCCTCCACCACCATTACTCACTGACAGCAGTTTGTACCATCTAAAAGATGTACTGCAGAAATCCATTAAGGCTTCTTAGACAGCACCTTCCAAACGCACAACCACTCTGTCCTGAAGAACAAGGACAGCAGATACATGGGAATACTACTATCTACAAGTTTCTTTCCAAACCACTCACCACCCTGACTTGTAAATAAATCTTCATTCCTTCAGTATCACTGGGTCAAAATCTTGGAAATCTCTCCCTAATGGCGTTATGGATCCATCTATAACCCATGGACTGCAATGGTTCAAGAAGGCAGCTCACCACTACCTGCTCAGGGCAGCTAGGGCTAGGAAATTAAAGTTGGCCTGGCAACTTTTTAAAAAAGCTCCATAACTATTATAGCAAGGCTTTGCAGAACCTATCAGAACTTCCAACTTGTGCAAAAATGCCACCCTGCAATAAGACATGCACGTATGATTCCGCTGCTCGGTTTTGGGGAGCTATTCAGCAATGTATTAATAGATCCACGTCAAAAGTGAGTTACCAGTATCCTTACCATTGTGGATATTGCTACCCATTTCCAGGGATTGTTCCCCTGAAAATCTCATTTGCTAAAACAATGGTGAGGAAATTGGCTCAAATCTCCACCAGTATGCTCTGCCCACTGAGAGATCCATTTGAATCAGGGCTGAAATTTCAAATTATTCCAGGAAGCCAAGGGTAACATTGACATGATCAAAAGAAAATGCTCAGTGTATCATCCTCAGTTATGAAGTGCTGAAATGGCACTACCTGACCTATAAACAATGATCAGAGCATATTACCATGACTGGGAAAAAGGACTGAGTTTTCTTCTATTTGTCACCAGGGACTGACACAATGAGTCAGCTGGTTTTACACCAGTTGAATTGGTTTACAGGTAAAAATGCAAGGGCTCTGAAACTAATGAAATAGAGAGTTTTATAACAAGAAAGTCTTCATGTTGAATTACATAGCAAAGTTCTGAGAGTGGTCAGAGAACACTTCAAAATTCGCCAGACAGTGATGAAACAACAGGCAGACAAATCTGTCATGGCCCGAGCCTTTTAGACTGACATCTGGTTCAGTTCTGTCGGGAATCCTGAAGTAGCTGTGAATTTGCTTGAAGCAGCAAATTAATAAATCACAGAACTGTTCTGAAGAAGAGTCATACTGGACTTGAAAGTCTGCTTCTCTCTCCATGGATGCTGCCAGACCTCCTGAGTTTCTTCTGGCATTCTGGGTTTCTGATTTCCAGTGTGCTCTGATCTCCTATGTAATCAAAGCTATAATCTTTCTTAGATCATCCACTTGGCACTTTTGGCTGAAGATTATCGTGAATGCTTCAACTTTATCTTTCGCGCTGATGTGCTGGGGTCCCCCAATATTAAGGATGTGGATATTGATGGAGCAGCCTTCTACGACTCATTGAATTGTCCTCTGGTGTCTGTGACTAGACGAGGCAGGACTGCAGAACTTAGATCTGATCCATTAGATGTGGAATTGCTTAGCCCTGTCTGTCACTTGCTGCTTCTGCTGTTTGGCACCCAAGCAGTCCTGTTTTGTAGTTTTACCTGGTTGACACCCCATTTTTAGTTATACCTGGTGCTGCTCCTGGCATGCTGTCCAGCACTGTTCATTGAACCAAAGTCCATCCCTTGGTTTGATGGTAATGGTTGTGGGGGGATGTGCTGGACTGTGATGTTGCAGATTGTGTTGGACTATGACTCTGCTGCTGTTCATGTCCCACAGTGCCTCATGGCTGGCCCAGGCTTGAGTTGCCAGATCTGTTTGAAGATTATTCCATTTAACACTGTGCCACATAACACGATAAAGCCTACTCTCCATGTGAAAATGAGATTCTGTCTTGAAGGTCTGTCCGGTGGTCAGTCTTATGATTATGTCATAAACTGGTGCATCTGTGGCAGGTAGATCAGTGAGGAGGAGATCAAAGCTGTTTTCCCTCTTCATTTGCTCACCACCTGCCACAGACCCAGTCTAGCAACTGCGTCCTTTAGGACTTGACCAGCTCGATCTGTGGTGCTGTTGCTGAGCTACCCTTGGTGATGGACATTGAAATTCTCCCTCCTAAATTACACTGTATCCTTGTCACCCTCAGTGCTTCCTCGAAGTGCTGTTCAACATGGTGGAGTACTGATTCATCAGCTGAAGCAGGCAACGTGGTAATCCGGAGGAGATTTCCTTGTTTGACTTGTTGCTATCTGACTTCATGAAGTATGTACTTGATGTACTTGAAGACTCATAGGGCAGCTCCCACCTGACTATACCACTGTGCGGCCACCTCTGCAGGGTCTGTCTTCCTGGTGGGACAGGATATATCTAGTGACGGTGATGATGTGTGTAAGCTATGATTCCAAAGCATGACTGTGTCAGGCTATTGCTTGATTGGTCTGTGAGACCAGCTCTCGCAATTTTGGCATGAACCCCGAGATGAGAGTAAGGAGGACTTTGCAGGGTTGACAGAGCTGTTTGCCATTGTCATTTTCAGTGCTTTATTCAATGCCAGGCGGTCCATCCGATTTCATTCATTTTTTCCTTTCTACTGGTTGATACAACTGAATGGCTTGCTAAGCCATTTCAGAGGCATTTTAAAATCAGTCATGTTGCTGTGGAATCGAATGGAGTACCAAGTAGGGGTGGGAATTTAGTTCCCAAAAAGGGCATTCATGAACCAGAAGGATTTCAATTCCAAATTTTTATTCCGACATCTGTGTTGGGATTCAAACCCGGGTTCTCAGAACATTACCTGAGTGTCTGAATTACGCATCCAATGATAAAACTGCTAGGCCATCACCTCTCCTCATTTGATCGTCCAAATAGAGATAGTTGCAGGTACCTTAGTCCTCATTGGGAATATCATTGCAGGATGACAGGTATTACTGTATTTTAGATTTGTTGGGGCTTCGTCTATGTAAGTGCATGCATGTCTGTCAGACTAACATTGTTGGTGCCACTTTGCATGCAGACCAGCTGCTGAGACAACTGAACCAACCAACTACAAATGTAACACATCCAGGTAACTCTTCTCCCCCCCTGATGCCCACAATATCTGCAGCTTTGAATTTAGCTCAGGAACTCTGAGCCAAACTTGCTTATGCTGCAAATGCTTATCACAGATATGGTTGTTGATAGGGTGCTATCCATCAGTGATTTTTCTTCTCCTATAGATAAGTGGCTAGTATTCCTAACGGCCCGGTTGATACGGAAAAGTTAATGTGAGGAGACTGACAGAAAAGAGCCATTTAAGCAGTGATCTAACTGGAACAAAAAAAACTGCTCAAACAATCCGTTGATAATCAGAAGTTACTCAATAATACTTAAATGAAAAAAATGGCATGGGGCATAAAAGGCAGCATTTCAATCACTTATACTGTGATTTTGATTACTTTGATTTAGAGAGGTTATTTTGAATGGCAAGGCAAAGTGCATTTTCAGTTGTATGGTTGTAAAAGCTTTTTCTTTCTCCTGCTGTTCTGTATGTATAGAATGCATATTGATTCAATGTGTGCACGTCAACTAATTTCCAGTTAAAGTAACTGGCACAGTTTTGAGAAATTATTGTGCTATAATAGCTGGATGATAGAAAAACTTTCCTTCTGTAATATTAAGTCAATCTTACCATGTAGACTTGTCCAGAAACTTGCAACTTTGCCAAAGGTGATCCAGATTATGAATTGCTCCACTAAAACTAATTTTATGACTTGTTAATGTGTGGATATGCTGAATGAAGTCTTCCAAGACCAAGATTTGTCAGTAAATTTAGATCTACAATTACGTGAAGTGTGCATTGTGTTATCTATTTATGTAACTTTGCTGCCTTTAATCTCGAGGTGACTTTGGGATATTAATTACATGTGTC